CCCCCCCCCCCAGAACCTCCGCCCCATCCAACCGCCCCCTGCTCCCCAGGACCCCCTGCCCCTTATCCAACCCCTCGGGCCCGGCCCCCTTACCATGCCGATCAGAGCAGCATTTCTGGCTGCTGCGCCGCCCAGCCAGAGCCAGACACGCTGCTGCACTGCCCTGCAGGAGCGCTCAGCCCTGCCGCCCAGAGTGCTGCCCGCGCAGCAGCATGGCTGCGAGGGAGGGGGGACAGGGGAGAGGCCAGGGGCCGCCTCCCCAGCTGGGAGCTCAAGGGCCGGGCAGGACGGTCCTGAGGGCCGGATGTGGCCCGCGGGCCGTAGTTTGTCCACCTCTGTGCTAGATACAAGAGGCCAGTCTTTTTTTACAATGCTTATTTTGAGCTTGTTTTAACTGAAGACTATTTGAGGAGTCCAAGCCCAGTGCCATTCGTCTCGTTAAAACAAGGAGAGGTGATGTGGCTGAGCGGCCCCTCAGGATAAGGCAGCTTGGTAGGGAAAGTGCCGTCGCCGAGGGCTGCGGGTGGCGTTTGCCGTGCGGCTTGCGGCAGACCCGAAATCACCATCCGGAGTGTTTGCAAGCAAGAGGGCAGTTTGTTCGGGGCTGTGCAGACCAAGCTGCCTTTTCCAAGGAGCTCGCAGTTATCCCCCGGTGTGCTGGAGAGGCGCATATGGGGGAATTGGTTCCTCAGAGAGAGCTTTGGAAGGGATTCTTCTTCTGTCCTTCTAAAGGCCTGGTCCTCCTCTCAGCAGTGAAACCCCATTGACGTGGGGAAGTTACTTCGGATTTACTCCATTGTAAATGAAAGGAGAGCCATCGCCATTGGCATGCAAATAACCACACTGCCCTTTCCCGTGGCACTTCATCTGCTCATGCTGTTTATTCCTTTCTTGGCTGTCGTAATCCTCTGATTGTAGCAGTATCGATTATTGTAGTTATGGCATCTTGCAGGATGTGGCTCATGGTAACAAGGGAGCACTGGGCTCACGACAGACCTGCCCGCCTGCTGCACAGATACCCCAGGAAGGCCACTGGTTGTCTTCGGTTGCAGCTCACCAATGCAAGAGAGGGCACGATTTTTGCCTTGTGAGTTTTTCTGAGGCACAG